TATTTTTGGAATTATTATTTTAATTGCTTTCTGCTGACACTGTACCTGCCCCTAATGACGAGTCGCCACTATAAATATAATACACAAGTAATTATTATGTATTTATAAATGTGAGTAAATTGAGGGTTACACAGATGGACAAAGTGTAAAATACTTAACGGAAATATTAAACACATTAATACAAGTTGTTTTCATAAATAAGAGTTTTATTTAACATTTATTTTTATTGATATGTAATCTTTTTACTTTTATTTCAGAACCAAATGTTTATTTAATCTCGCTTTTCATTAGTGTTCAACTATGTCACCGTAATTCTTAAATAACTTTAATGTAAAGCTGTTGCTGTAAGTAAACACAGTCAAGATTACAATCTTATTTTGTGCCAAAGTTTTGTGTTAGTTTTGTTCTTTTTTAAACTTTCAGTAAAAAAGCCAGCAGATGGCACTAAAGCTGGGTACTTTCAGTGGCTCTTGAAATTATATCTTGAAATGATAGGGCTGGCGATTTTTAGGGTCGGTGACAACCCACCCTAAAAAGTGACATCATGAAATGATCTGACTGAGCCGGCAGTGGCTCAGTCAGTAGGGGCTTGGACTCGACCAGACCTAAATATGGAGTGTGGACTTCTACTTGGAGAGGTCCCAGTTCACCTCCTGCCCTGCCGTGGTGCCCTTGAGCAAGGCACCGGACATCCCCCTTCCCCCCTCACTCCCCGGGCGCTGTACAATAGCTGCCCACTGCTCCTAGTACTAGTCCTGGTACTAGGATGGGTTAAAAGCAGAGAACAAATGTCACTGTGTGCTCTGCAGTCTGCATGTGTGACCATTAAAGAGGGTTTCATCCCTCCCAATTCTAATTAAACTTTCATAAGATTGAGTTGTATTTTAAGAAGTTCTTCAATTATTCTCACAGATGGTTGGCTGACATGAGTTATATATTTTACACAACAAAAAAATTACTATTTACCTGAATTGTTTTCCTTATTTGTTTATTACTGAACCCTTCAAGACAGAGAGAGAGAGTAGAGATATCTCCACAGTTTGTACACAGAGCTGATCATATGATGCATATCAGTGTTGAATCAGCTCTGATATGCTCCTCCTCGTCACCGGTCAATGAGTTTGACTATCCTGAGCTCTCGCATGATCGCTCACTGAAGATGCTTATGTTAGTGGGCTGCAAATCTTTGTGTATATGTAAGTGTGTGTGGACATAAGCTACTGTATTGAGTGGCGATGCACAGAATCCACACATGTAAGAAAGCCAGGGGATCTGAGTGAAGAGGAGGAGCCTGAACAACCAGTTACATAAAATAATTGGAATGTTGCATAAAGTTTCAATGTGAGATCTTTTTGACAGACCTCCACAACTAGTCTTTCCACATACACATCCATATCACTGTGACCGACTCTATATGCAGGATACAATCTATGACTGTGATGCATTTAGATGAATAAGCACACTGGTGGTGCATTACCTACAAACAGAAAAATCAAAATATATATTGTCATATCCAACACTGGTATTATTTAGAGTTTTGAGTTTGATCATACAGTCGACATATCTTACCTCTAAGACTGTAATGTCTGAAAGCTGCTATGCAGTGGCTTCCTGTTTACATTGCTTTTGATTGGGCAACATTAAAGATGTTTGCTAGCAAGGGAGAAAATCTCTGTTACATGCACACAAACCTAAATAAGTTTACAGGAAAGGGAAAACCCCCAAAAAGCATAACAGGGCCAACTTTAAAGCTTTACCTCCTCCACAAATGTATTGAACTAAAACCCACCCTTTTCTTCCAGGACTTCAGAGCTTCCTGACCGTTCAACTACAAATAAAAAGAAAATGCAAATGATAGATAATACCCACATCTATGAGTTTGACCTCCCTGTTTAATGAGAAGTTGCTCCTCAAAACATAATGATGGACTTCTTAAATTGTCCGCATCAAAAGAAAAAAGTAAACAAATTAAAGAAAAGCCCATTTATTTTCTTGAAGTAAGGCTTCATCGGCTTCAGTTTACCATGGCAACAGTGTTTTTTATCTAAATGGGAGAACATTAGAGCAATCAGGTTGTCTTTGCAGACTCAAATGTTGAGAACAGAAAGCCTGAAACAGCTTGAGGATGTTCCACAGTCGCTGGCAATATGAGATCATTTATTCATTGTTATGTTTCAGTTTCTGGATGACTGTGTTTTGCAAACACACACCTACACACTGCTCTTGTAATTAACAGCATAGTTTTTTATTTTGGACGTACCAGGAGATAAACAACATTCTCCACTTGAAAAAACAACAAACACTAATTTGCATTTCGATACAAATGATTGGATTTTATTTTTGTAAATAACAGTGGGTGAATGACTGTTCCACACTACTCACTATTTTCAATTTTACAAAACTTTCTGCACAAAAACATTTGGATACTGATGCTTTTAAAAAAGCTAAATTTGACATTTAGGAATACATATTTGGTACTTTTTCGTATATTTGGTTTCTTGTTGAGTTGAATAATAAGATTGATATCATGCATATGTTTAAATATATATTTGGGTTAAAGTATTCCTTAAGGGTTTAATATGCTAATTTATAATCTCCCTTAGACAGTATATTTAGAATATGTTCATATGTAGACTTAAACAGAATGTAATATTACATGATTCCACCATTGGCATACATCTAGATCAGGGGTGCCCACACTTTTTCAGCTTGGGAGCTACTTTTAAAATGACCACGCCCAAATGATCTACCTACAGGGCCGCCCCTGCCCAATCTGTGTCGCGAGCGCGCGCGTGCGGGGGGGGGGGGTGCTAGTGGACTAAACGGCGGATAAACTGTGGCACACTTATAACTGCATGAACCCGTATGGCACAATACAACTCAGACTGGCTTACCTGTACGTCAATCAAGTGGCCATAGTAAGGATGGATGATAGGCTAACTTTAAAAAAATATATGTTTTTTTTTAATGCCATGTGATCTACCCACACTACCTTTGCGATCGACGTATTGGGCACCCCTGATCTAGATGATTACATGTTAAAGATTTTGTTCTCTAACGGTCAAGCAATATTGATCTCCAATGCAAGCAATCAACTAGTTTTTTTCCTGTACAAACAATTCAGTTCCTCCAGTTCGATCCTTTACTAATATGCTCTCTGCCGGGTCTCCTGAGGTCATGTTATCTTGCCTCTGAACCACTCAGGGGATTGTTTTATTAACTCAAAGTCCTGTCTAGGGACATATGCATGTATGTATTGTTATTGCTTGTGTAAGCATGTCTACTTCGATCAAACCCACACAGGAGAAGAAAGTTATTGTGCAACAAAGTACCTGCATTTGTCCTCACTTGCTCTCTCGGGTCCTATTATTAAAGTCAATCTTATGTTATATATCTTTCTACAGTACCAGCTGAATTGAAGCTATCCACTGATACGTTGAAGAATTGAGAATGTTTTTGCTCCTCATTTAAAGGACTTCATCAGGTCCTTTGCATTCATTGTAATATCAGTTTCAAATCAGAAGAAATAAATACATGCACAGAAAACACAGCTTTTCGTTTTTCTTTTTCACCATTCATCTGAGAAAAACATGTTACTAATGTGAAACTTACCACACTGAGACTGAAGGGCAAAAGCATATTAAACAGGCTGTGCAACCTGTTTTCCACTTTAACTAGCTTTTAAAAATTAACAGCAAACTTAAATGGAATTAAATAACGTTTTGAAAAACATTTCTGTGGTTTGCAAGTCTCGCCGCACACCGAGGCAAAACTTGCTGTAACTAGTTTAAAGGAATGCATGCCTAAACATATCCAACGCAAATAGGTTTGCAGCGAAGTGCAGCGAGGAGTGTAAACTTGCAAAACCAAACCATCCATCCACAGACCCATAGTCACACCACAGATGAGTAAACACATTTGGTCAGAACCACACAATATAACTCGGATGTAGGATTTGAACATTTATGAAGCATAGCAAAAATAATTTGAAAACAAAAGTAAATCTTTAACAAACAACATAACCTACATTACGTCAGATTTCAGTCTACTAAAGTAACAAATGTGACTGAACAACACATCTTAAACATTGCAACAACAAAAAAAGGTTTTTAACAGTTTTTAAATTGGATTTTCTGGCATATTGTTCCAAATCTGGTTTAATCATTGTCATTTAATTTGTATTTGTAATGGCTTACATGTTGTTGCATAGTCATTCACATGAATAATGTAAGCTTCAACGATTTGTTTGCAGTTTTATTTGACAACTATTACTCCCCTTCAGTGTTCATAGATTCAGAATACTGATGCTCTCCTTTGCAGCATTTACCTGTGTATTATTTCTCTTGCACGAGAAGACTGCCTCCTTTTGGAAATAAGGAGGAGGTGAAGGTTTAACAAAAGCAAAAGGTCTGTTTACAATGAGTATAAAACTACCAGTAAAACAAGGCTGCATCTTTCATTTGTAACAAAAATATAAAGCTGCAGATTTCTAAAGCCTATTTTCCGGAAAATAGTGTTTCCAGTCCTCTGACACAGTCCATTAGTTCACAGTCACTATGAGATTTTTTACAGTGAATCTGGGATTTCCATTTAATAACTAAACGCCCTTTAACTAAGTGTGGCAGTTTGTTTTCACAAATTGTGGGGGTCAAAATACGCCTTCAGATTCATTTTTCTCTAATGACACAATACATATTAAAGGTAGGGTAGGTAAGTTTGAGAAACCGGCTCGAGGTCGCTAGAATTTGAAAATACACAACCGGAGAAAATCTGCCACTTCCTTATAGAGCCCCTCCTCCAACACACACGAACGCGCACATGACCAATGAGGGCACGAGATAAGTTTGTGCACAGATGGAAGGCTGACAGGCAGGTAGGCCATCCAGTTATTTTAGCCGGGCCGGCTAAAATGATTGGTCGTGCTTTTTACAGTACTACGGCTTCCACAGATGAAATATTTTTATGGATTTTTTGTCAAAGCACTTCAGATATTCATTGCTATCGGGATGTTAAGAGCATTCCATGGAATATAACAAAAAGTGTATCTCGAGCCGGTTTCTCAAACTTACATACCCTACAGTACCTTTAATAATCAGTGAAATATATATATATCTATTTTTTTTGCTAATTAAAACCCTACAAACTCTTGTTTTTACCGAGAAGTTCCCCCCAAGTTCTTAAATGCAGGTAACAATGGGTTAAAAACTAAATGTACCCACTTAATTGTACAACAAATAAAAAACAAAACTGCACCCAACACTTCATAATTTACTGAATGAATCTGTGGCTCCTTATTTCAACATCGTCTGAATTATGTTTGTTTGTTCCCTTTATGTCATACATTTAACCATTATGATTTCCATTATTAAACAGATCCACTGCAGCGTGACCATGCTTTCTGATGACCCTTTCAATTTCTTAACCACATGTAGTTCGTAACTAAAATGCGCCTTACTGGTCGAAGGCATCCACAGTGAGCAGGTATACGGCTGGTTCAAATTTCCTTTCTGGACATCTAATTGACTCAAGATATTGTACCGTCCATGATGGTCCATTTCTTCTTTCTGGTAGAAGGCAGGGGCCGTGAAGTTAAGCTCTCTTTGGGACCAGCGGACAGTGCCGCCACCGGGGTAAACTCCATTGAACCAGCACTCAGCAAAAGACTCATTTCTGTAGTAGCCAGAAGTTTCAAGGCAATCTGTGAAAACAAAGGACTTTTAGACAGGTAAAAGAAGACATTGAGATTTGTAACTTTTCTTTTTGTATCTGATAACTCACCTTGTACTTTAACATCAGTAGTGCTAGACATCACACCATTGCTGGAGCGCAGCTTGCAGAGGTATTTTCCCTGGTCGCTGGGCATCACGTTGAGGAGAGTCAGAGTGAGGCTTTGTGGCAGAGGCTCATCTATATATTCACATTTAACCTTGGGGTCATCATGCTGGCTGTCATATTGACACAGACTTTTATTCTTATGCCAGGAAAAGTGTTTAATATCGAGGCGTGAGCTGACATTACATGTCAGTGTCACATTTTCTCCACACCGTGCTGCCACCTGGGAAACGGTCTGTAGCTCCAGCCCGTGACTGACTGAATTATGAGAGACAGGGATGACTTTTTGTTAAAAAATATAACACTGTAACATTTTATTGTTATGCAAGTATCACTTTTTTCAACAAAAGAAAACCAGAGTTCAAGTTATTATAACTTTTGAGAGTAGTCAGCTTTTAGACTAAAGTCTGGTCAATTAGTTTAAAGATTATCTTATAAGAATAGTACACACTTTTACTCAACGGAAAGAAAGCTAGATAATAAGAACGATACCTTGTTCATGTCTGTACGATAAATATTTAACTACAAGCACCAGCCAGTTAGCTTAACTTAGCTTAGCTTAGCACAAACACTGGAAACAGGGGGAAACAGCTAGCCCATGCTGCTTTCCAAATGTAACACAACTATCTACCAGCAACTCACACTACATGTTGTACCTTTAATTTAGACCTAAGCAGAAACATTAGAGTTGGTTTTGTGTTGGACTATTATCTGGAAGAACCATGCTAGCTGTTTGCAGTCTTTTTGCTAAGCTAAATCATGCCTAGTTAAGTTAAAGATATGTTGCTGTAGCTACACTTTGCCATACTTCTAACTTCAAGCAAGAAATCCAATTTGAGTGTGTCCAGAATTTGAAATGATTTCAAAATGGGGGTAAAGATAGCAGATTCCCAGAAGAGAAACCGGGTGAAAAATCAATGTTAGATTATTACACCTGGAGGTTTACTGTTAGAATTATTTATTTAAGAGCTAATGTGTATTTGTTTAATCATAATGATGTGTAAAACTTCCACAAAATCGAGCACATTGACCACTAAAGCCATGCATAGGCTGAAAACCTTTAAATCAGTGAATACAAAAAAAGATAAACACTTATTTTCAAGTTCAAAACCATCCCTCACCTGCAATGCCTGCAGTGAACCAGATGATGGAAACCCAGCCAAAAACACGTCGCTGTGTACTCACATCAGATAAGAGACTCATCCCTTTCATCTGTATTGAAATCAATATTTAACACATTAGATGAACTAGATAAAAGCCAAACAAATACAGCTGCAGTACAAAACAAGTGTGTGAATACTCACCATGTGAACACACACAGACTTATTAATGTCTTTCATCAAGTGGAGATGTTGTTTGTGAAAAAGTTTAGGTCCACTTCATTTAATGCATTTCAGCTGAACAGGACGTCTTGGTGGAAAAACGGTTACTGAGTAGACCTCACCCTCTGAAGGGGGACTACAAGTGGTGTCATGTTTTCATTTGAGCAGGAGTGGACATGCCCTGGAATGAAAGACTGCTGAAGGACAAAAGTAAAAGCAAAACTTTAGTTTACTGTCTGATTTATTTAACCACAAAGGAGTATCATGTTGATACTTTCTGTTTCCCTTGTACAGTTTATATATTTCAAATAGACTCAACTTTCATAGTCTATCATTATACCAAGTTTATACTTTTTTCTTGCTTATTTTTTAGCCCTAAAAGGTTGTCAAATGTTCATTTTAGCAAACATTTGACATGTTTAATACTTAATTAATAAATTAAACCAAGCATTATTATTCCTCTTTAATCCAAAAAGCAATCTTCGCACGTAATTACTGACCATGTAAACAAGGGGTACTCAAACTTTTTTATTAAAGGTCCAGTTGTGAACTTTATACAAGGCCACTGGTCCGGATCAATGCCAGTAAAGTCCCGTCCCCGTCCCCCCCCGAGCGGGGCAACGAAACTAAAATTGAGAAGCAGTTTCTTGGCGCTCTTTGCATGGGGCCCCCTTGAGGGGGTTTCCCGACGTGTCGTTGCAGTAAATTAAAGGGTGTTTCATGTTGTCGTTGCTGTGGACCTTCTTAATCTACCTTCTTTGGGGGCCCCCTTCTGGTCCAAGCACTTGCCTGCCTTGCCTGCCTTGCCTGTCGGTAAACGGCGCCCCTGTATACACACACACACACACACACACACACACACACACACACACACACACACACACACACACACACACAACACACACACACACACACACACACACACACACACACACACACACACACACACACACACACACACACACACACACACACACACACACATTAAATACATACATACAGTATGGTGGCTTGAACTAGTGGGAGAAATTGCACTGTTTGTCTGTAGACAATGCCTTGAACCTCGGCAAAAAAGGCATTGGAAGCATTAGAAAGTCAATGTAAACTTGCGGTTAACTTGCGGTCTGCTATGCGTGTCACGCTCGCGCACACAAGTAAATATATATGCACGTTCATTCTCACAACGCGTCAGACACAAGACGCGCGTACATGATGATGTACATTAATTTATCAGAATCATAATTTTTTTTTAATATTTTTTTTTATTTTTTATAATGGGACACAGGGTTCGGTCCGGATTGATTTGCAGTTCGGTCCGGATCCGGACCTTGGTCCGGAGTTTGAGAAGCCCTGATGTAAACTATTTTGTGTTCCTTTATTTAAAACAGAGAGGCTACTGGAATATTCTTCAAAGGTTTTTCTAGGTCATTGTTGCCGTTTCCATCAGAATTTGCCCCGGACAATGTTCAGTGTCTGAACCATCCGATAGTAGGAGTTCCATTTGGCAGTTTCCACTGGAGAAAATGAGAGCATTACATGTTCTTTAGAAAGTAGGATGGGGTCCCAACAAATAACGCACACAAAATAACTTTCTAATAAGTTCTATTTTACATTTGTATGCGTTCTTTTTTAATGCAATACTTTAGAAGAAGATCAACAGCCTTTTGTACCAGTTTATTTGCTTATGGTGTGGCGAATATAATTCAATAATAGCTACTAAATCTCACTCAAGACTCACATATCTAAAAAACGCTAAAAAACGGTGACTCACTGCAGTGCTTGGTAAACCTCAGATTTACAAGCAGCTTTGGTGGCATTTATGTTTATAAGATTATTGCCTAACACAGGGGTGTCAAACTCAATTTCATCACGGGCCACATCAGCATTATGGTTGCACTCAAAGGGCCGGTTGTAACTTTAAGACTATATAAAAAGACGTATATAAATATTGAATATATATAAAATAATGTATTATATTACATTATTGCCTCTGCATTGGATTATTATCGGATAGGGTAATAACTTCATAATTAACTACATCTGAAAGCAGAAGTCTAGGGCAAATAATTGCAGTCTCTTCAGTAAGAATGTCCCAATATGATTTTAAAAGAAAAGCCACATTCTGAAAAAAAGAAAAAAAAAAAGAAGTGACATTTTGAAATAGAGAAGTGAAATATTGGGAAAAAAGTAACATTTTGAAAAAAAATCTATTTATGAGAAAAAGGCTAATTCTAAGAAAAAAAATCATATGACAAAGTCAAATTCTGAGAAAAAGTCAAATTTGAGATGCATTGTGGGACATGTCGTTTATGGGCAACGTGCTTCTGTAAAGTAGCATGTAACCGTATAATAAACATTATATTCTTTGCAAGCTCTTGTGGGGCCACATAAAATGAAGTCGCGGGCCGGATTTGGCCCCCGGGCCTTGAGTTTGACACCCCTGGCCTAACACCAAAGCGTCTCCATAGGAATTGGCTTTTGTTCGAGCAAACACAAGTTTGGGCAATTTATATTCCGTAGGTGGATTTCGTTATGCAGTCACAGCTTGGCCTGGCATGTGACTGTAATGCCAGAAGAACAAACTGTGCAGGCTGTAACTAAATACAAAAAAGGACAACAACAAGCAGATTTCTAAAATCCTGCAGCTACATAAGCAACACGTTTTTGTATGTCCTGCTGACAACAAATCAGTATTTTTGTAACATTTGATGTGTCTCTATTCATCACAGCAACAGCTGCATTTTAGATGTATTGGATTTGACATTAGTGGCACTTTCTCCCCTCTGAATTTTTTAATTACTGTCCCAATGACTTTCTCCAGTTTTACAACAAACAGTAAAAAAAGGGCTGTGATGTGTGTGGAGAAAGTGGGTCTGCTGGTAAAGGTAAAAGCAAGCAATTTGCTTGAACTAGCTAGATGTGGTGGAAAACACAAAAGCAAAGCTCTCCGTCTAGACATCAGCAATCCTGTATGAACAAGTAAGATAAGCATGAAATAACAAGTTACTCTTCATCATAATAAAAACATGCATTAACTTATATCAGTGAGGGACCTTTTAAAATATAGTTAATAGTTTAACTAAAGCCAGTTAATAAAATGTGATCTGTATTTGGATATGTATTCCGGATAGTAACAACACATTCATTGGTCTTTGCATTCACATCTGGTGGTCAAATGTGTTCTTATTATTGTGTCCACATGGTGATCATGCCTAATATGAAAATAAATGATAGCCAGAGTGGAGAGACCAATCAAAAAACATATATATTTGTTTGTATTATTATTTTTTTCATTGATGAAAGATTGGCAAAAACAGACAGAAGAAATGCCAACAGATTGACTGTAAGCATGTGGGAACAGATAACCTAGAGAAGCCAAGAGCAAACAACACCCCCATATACCTGTCTGGTCTTTACATGCAAGATGTCATTTAAGATGAGGAAAAGTTGGCAAATCAGTCAGTAGTGAGCGCCAGGTGCTGAGGACGCCTGGTGGACAGGTGAGGTAAAGAGAACAGCTGGAGTCAGGTATGATATCAAACACTTTTCTGAAGAAACCAAAACAAGTAAGGGATAATGTGCAGCGACGCGGTCATTATGGGTAAAAGAACACCGACAGGCAGATCAGGAGCCCGACGCGAAGCGGAGGGATCTAGATCGGCACATGGCCACATTCTCAACAAAGTAACGATATGACTCCCAATATTAATTGAAATGCTTTTATTGTTTTAGAAAATGTTTTTAATGATTAAAAACATAGTTGTAACTGATTTAAAATGACATTCATCCGCTACGAAAAATAGTCCGTTGTTGATGTTTGAACTAGGCTGTTGCAACGGCAGGAACTGCTTCGATAGCAACTAACTCTGTGCATGTTAGCATTTGAGCCTTAGCTGTAATTAACATTAACCTGAACGTGACATGGTGAATGGGAAATCTTTAGGGATATTGAGATCAACGTTTCTGTCCTCGATCCTCTCTCCTTGCGGGGGTTTCGCAGATGACACATCTGAAAACAATATTGCCACAGTTGTATCGCTACCGCTAATGTGTGTGTAAGGACAGACAACATGGAAAGGCACTGACCCGATGTGGTGCTCTTGTCTTGTCAGTTCGAAAAGCAAACTGCATGCAGTTTGCTTTTCAGCCAAACTGTATACAGTTCAATCGACCGGACTTCTTTCTGCAGATTTGAGCGTCCTTAACAACGGTCATAAATCCTTGACAGCGGTCTGTCTGTTCTGGATTAACAACGTGTCACGTGTTCTGAATTGACCAATCAGAATCGAGTATTCAACTAAACCATGTAATAAACAACAATAAACCATGCTATATGCTTTTCAGAGTTGAAACATTTGTTCTGTTATTTAGTTTCAGTGTACAATCTGTTCCCTTCAGGTAAAAGACAACACAATCTTTGTTGTGGAGGTAGAAAAATAAGATTGATCGGCTCTGAACCTCCAGGAAAAGCTTTGTTTGATGTGTCAGGCTCCTGTCTGTACTACAGATCTGATGAGTGCACTATTTTCAGACTGCAAAAATGATGGAGAAACAATATAAAACTGTATTTCCTGTACAGCACAGCATGAGGGCTGAACTAACAGAGCTGCAGCGAAGCCTTACTTCTTTTCCTTCATTTGAGGTATTGAAAGAAATTGACTTTATTCCACAAGATAACTTTAAACTAACTTAAACTTAAATTATGACTGATCCCTTCAAATCTTGTTTAAATGTTTCCTTATCTTTGAGACTACACCGCACCTGATGGCAGATACACAGTTTAAAGGGTTCAGGTGTTTGTGGTGACTTTGATTTTTCTCAGGACATCTATTATCAGACATCACAAGACGGTTACGCGCACCCGGAAGATTCGGATGCAAGTTTTCAGCGCTTGTCCGTGCATCCATATGCTCGTTACTTTAAAACGTTTTGATGTGATTTAGGTGCTTTTTCTATACAGTAGTATTTGCCACGACGTTGTCTTTAGACTTTCTCGACGATGTTCGTCGCATGAATAAGCGGCAGCATTAGGGCAATATCTGTGAATTACTCTCACATCCTACACACTACTGAAACCACAATCAGGTCATCTACGATCTGCGGAGGCCTGCTCCCACCTGTAGAGTGGCTCCACGCTTCGGGCTGGGGCCTGCTTCCACCGGGCGTGTGCTG